ATGCCAGACCATGGATGTTGCCAGACCAGAGACTTCTGGATTTAAGAGGATCAACCTGTACTTCACAGATACAGTTTCCTGCTCGGGTGGCATAGGGTCTTCACAGAGCTGGTTACTACACCTGACCCAAGGCATCCCCAAAAGTAGATGCCAAGGCCATAGTGCTATGATGTGCTGTGCAGAGTGACATATGTTAATGATTATATTCACCTATTCTATCGGACTTTACTCATTTCTCCATACTTGGCTGGCAAGAGTCAGCTCACCCTGCCCCGGTACCACTCACTGTGGGTGAGTATTCACTGCCAAGTTAGCTCAAGTGATCGGCACTCACAGCTGGTCTACACTGGAAACTTATGTCAGCGTAGCTGCATACTCAGAGACATGGAAAATCTACACCTCTTGGGGATGAATGCATGCTGCCCTAACCCCAGCTGTTAACAGTGCTAGGTTGACTGTTAGAAGAATTATTCCGCCTCTTGGGGTGATGGATTAACTGCATTGGTGAGAGAACCTTACTTGTTGGTCCAGGTAGCATCTACACCGAGAGCTACAGTAGCATACCCTCAGCAGCTTGTATAGGCATACCTTTAGACTCAACTTAGCCCAGGTAGAGTGTAAAGCACTGCAAAGCCTATCCATGCCAGACTCCCGTGGTTGCATCCCACACCAGTAGTGTGCTCACACATGAGGGGCTCTTTGAAAGATGTGGAGGGGATTGGCTGGTTTTTAGCTTTTGCAGTTAACCATTCGTGAAACTGCTGTCCTGGTACAGAAGCCTGTCTGTTTTGGGAACAGAATAAGGTTAGTCTGAGTTCTCTGGTAAGAGGTCATCCCAGTGCACTAGGAACTGCTGACTTAGCTTGGTGTTGGTTATTACCCAGATTTATTGTTCTCCACTCTTCTAGACAGTGTGAACATTTATCTTGATGGCATGTCCAATATCTTTTATAACTGCCCATGTTATACAAGTACATTTCCAGGAGATAATGTGGATTAGATTGCCTTCATCAATTAATCCATGCAATCCTTCCAAATATTGGTGAAAATATAAGAAACCATCTATTATGAAATGGTCTCTAGCCTCTTCTGTCTTTTAAAGTGATAGATGGAATTAGCTATAGGGCCCCCATTGAAACTGTGGAATGAAACAAAAAATAATTTGATCATCCCTAGGAAACAGCGACTCTTCAAACATTAAATATACACATTGTTCTGGTCTCCTGAATGTCAAACTTGTTTGAAGAACAGTTTGCTCTAGACATGTATAAATCCTTGGCGCTTTATTCTAGCCTTTCCAAAACAATCCTTTTGTGTAGCACTATACGCTAATGTTTACACACAGTTATTTGTTTTTATTTGGGGATGTTCAGAGGAGACTTCAATACCATAGTAAAATCTGGAAGATGTGGATGAACAGTTGAGCAAAAGCTCAAAGCAATCATGTGTAATGAGAACTGGTTTACTTGGCAAGTGCCAAGAATCCATTTGTTTTTACTTAGATGAAACTAGATTATGGTATTAAACCCTAAGACATGAACATTCTTGCATAGATAAAGCACATGATGAAATTAAACTTGAACTAACTGCTGTGTGTAACTAAATGCACTCAGATTTACTGCACATTTTCCTCAGACTTCATTTTGTGTAATACAACAACAGTAAGTAGGTCTGCCTTAGGCATGTAACGGAGTAGTCGATTAGTCGACTGCCCGATAAGCCTAGACTTATCTGGTAGTGGAGTTGACCTCGCTCCCCCCCTCCCTTGCTGCCTCTATATCAGAAAATTGTATCCAGTACATGATTAGTCAATTGCCTGCTTCTTAACATCCTTAGTCTGCCTTGTATTTTCTTCATTCATTGACCCCTTTGCTTTTTCCTTCCTGCAGCAGAAGTAACCCAGCAATAACTAGGATGAGCATGGGTTTTCTCCTAGTATTAAATATATTGCTATACCACCTGAAAGCAAATGTTCATCTTCCAAATTGAAACTAGAGATTTTAAAATGCGTTAATTTAGGTAGATATGTAACCAATGAAAATGTCAGTCATTGCATGTTTACACGCACAGGGATGGGTTGGGTGTGTAACTGTGAAGATTAACCAATGAACCTGGGCTCATCGGTTAACCATGTACACATTTACATTTCACAACTCTAATTGAGACCTGCTGCTGCTTTCTAACTCTTCAATGTTCGCACAAGTTTTTAATCAAACTAATTCATTCACACAAGACATAGCAGCTTTACTAAAGCTCAGCATCTGTTTTTTGTTGAAGTCCTGTTTTGATCCAGGTGTTGCTTTTCAGTTGTCTGAGCCAAAAGAGGTCTGCTGGCTTGCTGAATGTCAAATGATACTAGATTTGAATCTGGGGCTTTCCTGGTTCCTAGCCCTCTGTTCTAATCCTCTAGAATTTACTGCTGCTGCCTCTTTTTAAATGCACTATGTGTATTAAAATGTAGCAATTAGTTTGGAAGCATTTTCTGTTGAATTTTTCTTTAGCAAAAGCAGCTTCTTAGAAGAACAAGGATTTTTCCAGTTGAGTATTTAGTTTTAGTTCAGTGCTGTGCCCAGATTATGGTGATTAGTAAATGGGCTTAGGAAAGAAGAGTTTGTGAGTGTTTTCTTTAATCATTTTAGTCTTTCGTCCCTGACAGAGTAGGGGATAAGAAATAAAACAGCTGGGGTCTAGTCAAGCCCCAAATTATCTCAGCAACTATTTTTGGTTAAACTGTTTTTGTGCATTCTGGCTATCGACCAAAGGGAACACCACGCTGTCTTCTGCAAGCAGCCAGAGAGGAGCCCACCCTGTATGCAGACATGAGACTCCTGGTATGGCTATTTGAGCCTTTTTTTTTTTTTTTTAATCCCAGAGTTCACTGATGTTTGTAGCCTGGGCTAAACATGTGGGAAATACACACATTAGCCTTTCACAACATGTGAACTGATTTGGGTTAATTAGAAGCCATTGGGGGAAGGTGAAAGTCTAATGTAGACAGACTCCACAGTATGTGGATGTTGGGTGTGGTCTGCATGCAGTTTTTGTAGGACATGCGAGCGGCCATACTGGGTCAGACTAGAGGTCCATCTAGCCCAGTATCCGGTCTTCTGATAATGGAATCCTGTGTTGTGGGGGAAGCAGGTGTTGCCTATTGTATGCTGCAGAATAGTAGGGCAACTTCTATTGTGGTCAAGCTCTCCATGGGGCAAATCTACTTCTCTTGAGACCAGTGGCCATAAGAGTAGGTGGAATTGGAGACACTTCTGTTGGAGAGGAGGATGTTGCTGATTCCATTGGAGCTGGAGGTGGGAGAACTATTCTTTGGAATAAGAAGTTGCGGAAGAGACTGTAAAGGCCAGGTGAGGCATTTAAGCAGCAGCTGCACATTATACTTTTCCCTGGATTTGGACTTTGGCGACTATTTTGAGGAGGGAATAAAATAATAAAATAACCACTCTTATGAGAGGCATCTTTTTAATACAAGTTCAGGACAAGTTGTAATTCTAGATGAACGTTTCAGGTTTTTTGACATCCATTAGCTTAAAGATCTCACTCTTTCTGGGCCAGTCAGCTTTGGATTCCCATAACTTATATTCATTATGGAGAAATCCTTTCCTGCTAGGCTTTTTTTGTAACTTTGCTCTATACCTAAGTTCTCCAGTCTTTTTTTTTTTCCAGAGCACTTGCCATCTCAGTTTGTTCTCTTCCTGAGCTCACATCAAAGTAGGGTTACTAGCTATTGTGTTCTGGAAATGCACTAGGACAAGAGAAGGCATGCATAAATTTGAAGAGACTATGCATCAGGCAGAACAACCACTATCAAGGTGTTTCTCATAGTATTCCTGTTTCAATTAATTCCTTGTGAATAATTAATTCAGTTTCAATAAGGCAACATTAGTTCTGACCTGTCCCAAACCATGTTACAACCATGTTATGTGCATGAATTGTGCACACTGTACCTCATCACAGACTAGTGCAAGTGCTTTTGGAGTTGCATTTTACTAGTCAGTGATAGTAATGAGGTGGATAGAGGATATTTTTGGTCAGGTACAGCAGGGAAAATACCTACTTTGTGTGTGCACAATGGTATCTCAAAAAGCCTTTAGTGGTAAACTGCATGCTCTATTCATCTACTTTGGAAAGGTGAAGCACATATGGAACAATGTTGTTTCTCAATTTTTCACACTGGTTTTAGGTCACTCAACTACCACTCCAGTACATGGAATATTTGAGTGTTTAACTTCAGTAATAATATATAGGTATAAATTCATATAAACTGTGTTGCTTCTGTTATTTCCACAAGGTGGTACTGTTGCACTATCTTTAGAGGTCTTGCACTACATTACATGATAAGCTAACCAAAACTCTGTCACCCTTTTTATTATCCCCTGAGTCTTAAAATATTGCCTCAATTAATCCATTTTCATGCAGAAGCAAATTTGGATTCAAAGTGCTGTTGGCTTGCTGACCATAGATTAAATTTCCACTTCTTTTAGAAGCATCTTTGCACCATATGCAGGCCCAGGTAGTGAAGCAATAATAACCCACATAAAGGGGATTTGGTTCACAAATCACAAAATATGTTAAATGTTACATTTGTTTTTTACAAAGCCTTTATTAAATCCATATTTGTGTTGCATGAATGTGCCAGAAATGTTCTAATGAAGCAGCACCTGGGGGTTAATAAATGATATCATGAATCCATATTGATTGCCAAAAGTGATTTTAATAAAGGAAGCCATGCCCAAGGTTGACTGTGTCCATGAAAAATAATTGTTTTGTTTCCATATTTCTTTTATTGCTTTGTCAAGTTTTTTATAATTCGCTTGCATGCTTGTTTTCACTGAAATCAAATCATGCCGGCCCTCAGTTTGTCTGTGTTTTGCATGCATTGTAAAAGTGGGGTTTGGGAGGAGAGAAGGACGTATTGTGGAAGATGAGAATTCTTCATATTGTCTGGTTTCTGCATTCACCTTTTCTGTTTGTTTCATCCCATTCAGAGTCAAGTGAAATCTGATGAAGAACCAGCATGGAACATACTCCGTGATGATTTTATGATGGGAGCATCTATGAAAGACTGGGATAAAGAGAGTGACAGGGAAAGTAGCACTGGACAAGATGGTAGAGTCAGGCAGGATAGTGAAAGTGACTGATGGATGAAATGAAAGAACATTCAGGATGAAATGTTCGTTTATTTGGATAGAAACCTCTACATTCTGTGAATGCACAGCCTTGGGGGATTTGTAGAGATGCCTCTTTTTAAGGAAAGCAAAGACTTTCTTAGTTTTGGGTGGGGTCCTCTTTCCTCATCAGCTTCAAACTTTTATTTACCAAAACTTCACTCTACTGAAATCCTGAAATATTTTCCAAAACATGTATAATTTTCAACATATTTCCAAAACATTTTGTACAGTCAAAATAGTGGCACCTGTCCAACAAAAGATATGTTTTGCCAAGGTCATTAAAAGTGAATACATTAGTCATGGCTCTTGATGTATTATTGTGCCTGCATTTCCAAAGCTAGGTTGCACCTTGAAAAGGTGTTACCAATTTGTAATAGAAATGTCTTACAATAAACATAAGTTCCAGCACCCTGTAAAATTATTGGTATCCTGTAGAGTCTGCAGTACTTTAGCCAAGAAAGATTTTATAGATAATAAAGAAAAGTAACCACTAATGTCCTAGTTCAGGTCTTTGAGCATTGATTTGGTGGGAGATGATCATGAAAACTTAATTTAAAAAAAAAAAAAGCCCTGTGATTAGTCTCTTTATATTTCCCTTTTTTTCTTCTTTCAGTTCTTAAGTTAATTACAACATGAGAGTGGTGAGAGAAGAAAGAGTCTTCCCCCTTTTATTTATTGTACAAACAAGCAAAACTTTAGGGAACAATGATATTCTGATATTCCATATTCAAAAAGGAACCTCGCCTGTGAGGTCTATGGTATGATTGTGGTAACAAGTGTAGAGCTTTATTAACTACTGGTTTTAGAAAGTGCTGTCTGTATGGTGTGTTGTATCAAGAAAGACTCACTGCTCTTATTTGTTGTTAATATGATGGTCAGATTCTCAGCTGGAGTAAATAAGCATTCCTGTGCTGGCATTCCTAACCAATTTACTCCATCTGGTAATCCAGTCCTTAAGGTACAATGAGTACTCTAATGTACATGTAAAAAGATGGTTGTGTGGATAAGGAAGAAAAATAAGAACTAGGGGACTGAACTTTCTCCCCACACGACCCCCTCCATAGGCTTGCTGTGGGATCTTGTGTACCTCAGTTTTCCATTGTAGAATGAAGATACTTCATAGGTTTCCAGACATAATTCAGTCATATTTTTACCCACTTTGAGATGATCTGGAGGGTGTTACACAACTGCCAAGTATTCTTGAATCAGTTGCTATGGATTTCTCGTGCATGACGCCATTTTTTGTATCCTGTTATATGCAGGACACTATGGGTATGTCTGCTCTGCAGCGCTATTTCGGGATACTTCGGGTAGCCCAAAATAGCTATTCCGCGTCTTGGCATCATGCCTGTTATTTCGAAATATCTTTCAAAATAACGGGCTCACTATTCCAACGTCCCTGTAAACCTCATTCCATGAGGAATAAGGGACATTTTGGAATAGCGGTTTATTTAGAAATTTGACACTGAATTGACAGCACCAAATTACAAAATAAGCTATTTCAAAATACAATTGAAGTAAGCTATGGGTGCAGTGTAGATGCACCCTAAGGGTATGTCTACACAGCAACATTATTTGGAAATAACTAGTGTTATTTCTAAATAACTTAGTCCGTGTCTACACAGCAGGCAGTTATTTCAAAATAATGTTGAAATACTGTCAAGCTGCAGGACTACTTACTCCAACTCCTGTAACACTCATTGTACAAGGAGTAAAGGAAATCGGAAGAAGAGTGCTCTATTTCGAAATAAGTGCTGTGTAGACGCTCGCAATTTCAAAATAAGTTATGCAATTGACGTAGCTCAATTTGCATAGCTTATTTTGAGTTAAGCCTTGCAGTGTAGATGCACCCTAAGAAGTGCCTTTGCTAATTAAAGAATAATCTATTCCTTATTCAGCATCTAAGTGAAATTGTAGATGAGTTCATTGGTGTGATAGATGCAAACTATAAATGTGATATTGGACCAATGGGTTTAAATTTTTAAAGAGGTGTGGAGGGATTTAATATACATGTATGATTCGTAAAAACAGCCCCTAATAACTGGCAGTAGTTCTGCTGATATAGTATAGCCTGTTCATGCATCTGGTATATATTGTGGCATAATTCTTCAAGAACTCAAAGCTAAGAGCAGAAATGTTTACATTTTTCAAGCTGGTTTGAGTGTTAAGTGTATTAGATATCTAAGGAGACATTAGCTTGTGGCCTGATGGTGATTATCACAAATGAAGGCATATATCCAAAATACAAAGCAGCAAAACCACAAAAGTGTGATGTACATTTATCCCAACTGTTGAGGATTTGGCAACTGGCATCTCATCAATGCAGTGTAAACAAATATTTTTATAGTAAGGCAAAATTTGAATTTTATAAAGTACCGTGAGTCTCACATCACACTTCTTGATTTCTGCCAAGTTTCATTACTTTGTAAATAAAACCTACATGGGCAGCCTTACTGAATAAAGGGGTTGATGATGCCGATTTGAATTTTGTCTGTAATGTGTTCTTAAGGCTAGGTACTGACTTGCATCCAGCATATATGTTCTACTTGATATCAGCAGTATCTGGCTCTGGTCAGGATACTTTATTACCTTCAAATAAACTCTCTCTTACTTTGCACACTACTCCATCCCTGGCCAGAAGTATACTATACTATACTATATAAAAAAAGTTGACAAACATTTCCATAATCTTTGTTTCTAGAACTTGTTTGTATGCACCTAAGCTTTTGCAGCAAAGTTGTGAATGACCAAAGCATTGAGTTACCTTTTATTAGTGTTTTTAAGAAACACATAGAGAATGCATGAAGGGTAACTTCTTAAGAGCTCTAGGGGATTGCGCCCCTTGCTTGCTGCGCTTGTCAACTCTCCTCTCACAGGGGCAAGCAACACTGGCTCTCTCCCCAGCCACCGGGGAGGGCTGGGTCCCTTCTCCATTCCTCCCCTCCTCCTCCTCCAGCTGCCAGCCCAGGTCCCATCTCCCCCCTCCCTGTGAGTCAGGATCCTTTCTCCCTCTTCACTCATCAGCATCTGGGTGTATGTATAGGCTACATGTTATTGCCTTTCAGATCCCTTAATAGTCAAAACTCTGACCTTTGTTACACACTGCCTCACCGATTGCTTAACCAACCCTCTCGCTCTATGAAGCCTACTTGCTTTTCCTTTGAGTTACATACAGTATGCTGATGACTAATTACAATCTAAATGCAAACCCTGATTGTTTTAAGTTAAACTTACATAGGTGCTTTACCTGGGCTGAAATCTAGAGAGCATTGCAACATTACTGTCGGTATTATTGCCTAGCTTTCAGTGAGTATGTATTTGTGATCTTCAATTGTGCAAGTTCACAAGGTTTTTTTGGGTTTTTTTGTTTTTGTTTTTTGGTACAATGCTTAGAAGACAGACAAGCCCTTAACTCTATTTAAATGGGTCCTGGAATCCTTAATCATCAGACTGAGAGTTATCAACTTCACTTTCTTCCAGCACTTGTAAACCGATCAATGACTCATCCAGGACCTGCTGCAAGGTCAGAGGCAAGGTAAGTCTTGAAATGTCAGGAACTTTGAGATCTTGTTAAATTTTGATCATAGAGCAAATGTGCAGAGATCCTAAAGCCAAACAAAGGGCATATTAAATATCTAAACAACAAACAGATGCTTACAACCTTACCCAGGGGCTTTGCATTCTGCAGCAGGTGGGAGGATGGTTTCCAAAAAGGCAGTTGAAAACCTGATGACTTCTCTCCCCTGCTTTCTGATATACAGGAAATGCCTGAAACAGAATGTTCTGCATAAGGATCTTAAGTCCTACCACAGGGCAAATACTGCAGTAAAGGTCAGACTTGTGGATGGGAGGATATGGGCTAACTTCCTTAGCTGTCTTGGAACAGGTGGTTTGCTTTCAGAGGCAGTTGTTTCATATTGCGCTTATATTTGAGCACACTTGACTGAATAGAGCTTGACTCTAAATGTGCAGCTTTAGCACTGAATAAAATACCTGCTTCATGCAACATTTCAGTCATTAGAAATGTTCAGTCATCCTAACACATATGTAATTTGTATTCTGACATGCTTTAAGTTAAAGGGGACTTTTTCAAAAGCTAAGGGATTTAGCATCACATGACTTTCAACAGGATTCTAAATCTCTTAGGTGGTTTGGAAATCATATAAATCAGCACTATTTGATCATAGAATGACAGTTCAATCATTCCATTGAGATGACTTAATGTTCTATTTTCAGCATCTATATTGATTGTAAAATTGTTTAATAGGTCTGGATCCTGTAAAAACTTACACATAAGGGATCTCGTTCTATCACTTGCATGCATAAGTCTTTTCATGTAGGCTTGCAGCCCTGGTAACTTTAAAGAGAGATGCGTTTGTTATATTTGATATTAAGATTCCATTTATAAATGGTTAGTACATGATCAATAGATGTTATAAGCATGTTACAAACAAGTATATATGATGTCGATGTTAAATACATGTAAATCTTAACTAATTTATTAGAAAAGTGCAGGCTAGGATTTAGAACAAGGGTCCAGAATTTCTAGCATTTATTCCCAACTCTGCCATAATGCTACATCCACACTGTAGTGCTATTTCAGGATAAAACATCTATTCTGTGTCTTTTGAGCACACCCGTTATTTCGAAATGTAAAGGGCTCACTATTCCGATGTCCCTGTAAACTTCATCCCACGAGGAGTAAGGGACGTTTCAGAATAGTGATTTATTTCAAAATAAGTGCTGTGTAGACAGCGCTATATTTCAAAGTAAGCTATTTCGAAATTGACTAGAAATAAGTTAGGCAATTTGCTCAATTAGCTCAAACTGCATAGTTTATTTTGAGTTACGGGTGCAGTATAAGTGATATTCCCAAACATCTCAGAGGTGTTTTTAGAGACGAACTTTCTCCATTCTGCTCTCAGTGCTTCATGGGCAGATTCCTGCACCTGTGCTGAGCTCTTCCATGTTGAGAGGGCTCTAATGTTTTTAGGTGCTTTTATATTCAAGAATAAAAGACTCCATGTAACTGCAAGATGTTGATAATTCAGAAAATGTGCCTACTGTGCTTAGTATAATACATTTTTTTAAAAGACTGAATGAAATATTCAGTAACACCCTCTTAACCTCTGGGTTACTTTTTATTTTGCAGGCTCATGACAATATTTCTTTATAAAGCATCCAAAATTCCTTTAGGCTACTACTTTGCTGTCGATTGATTAACATCATAGCACAGTAGGACCATGCTAATGCCAGGGATGTAAAACCATTGGGTCTGGTTCTCAGTTGCATTCAG